AGCCTAATTCTACACCGGACCTCCAAAATTACTTCCGATCACACTCCTAAGTTACAAATCATCCCTCGAAGCTAACCGAATCATCAAGATTCAAATCCGATCCCTCTAACATATAAGTCAATGTCCGGTTGACTTTTCCAAAATAAACCTTCCTTAAAGAGACTAAGTGTCTCATTTCCTACTAAAACCAATCCAAATCAACTCGTTCACACCCAACACTGATAATGAAGCATAAAGAAATAGAAAATGGAAAAAACGGGGCGGTAACTCATGAGACGACGGGTCGGGTCGTCACAGCATCAGAGGACATGTTCCATTTACATGTTCTATCTAGCTTATGTTTAACCTTAGTCAAGTCCTCCTTTAAAGTTCTTACATGTTCATCCCTTTTATATAACTCATTTTTCACCTTTCTTAAATCTTCTTCTAGTGTGAGTTGTATGTCACTAGCTATTTCTTTACTTGTTCCTAACTTCAATTTCAAATCTAAGTTCTAAAATAGTTGTGTCAAGTGCGTGAACCTATTTATTTAAAATAGTATTTTCATTTTCAGTTTTATAAGACCTAAGTTTCATGTTTTTGCACTTTGCTTTCAAAATAACACACTTCTTTGATAATTGTTCCTTTTTATTGTTCACATCTTCAAACTCATTAGTTAACTCCAACAATAATTCAGATAATCTTTCTTTAGACAGAAACTTAATCTTACCATTTAATTTAAGGACACTTACCTCAGGTTCTTCATCATATTCTCCAATAACCATTAAAACTCGTTCATCATCATCTGAGCTCTCATCTAAGAGATTTTCCCAAGCAGCAACCACTACTTTGGTTGATCCTTTGTTGCTTTTCATGGGATGAACCTATTCTTTCTTTATGTTCCTACGTTCAGCTCTTTTCTTTTTCATTCAATCTCCCACAAGGGACAGTTCTTAATCATGTGATCATCTACATTTATAGCATCCACCACTTGCCTGCTTCTCTGGAGCTTTGGCCTTACTGTAACTTCCACTTCTTGAAGAACTTTTTCTCTCCTTAGGTATTTCTTGACATCTTGACATCTAGGTACATCCATCTTCATGGTTAGCCTCCTAAGTTTATAATCTTTGAGATTTCCAATCAACTCATCCAAAGGAAGTGTAGCAATATTTTTTGATTCATGATTCGCAGTGATCTTGTTTTTCCATGTGACTGGTAAAACCCTAGTTAGGATCTTCTCAATCCTTTCTTCTTCAGATATATTCCTTCCAAGAGACTTTAATTTATCTGTCAAGGTAGTGAACCTTGTGTACATCTCTTAAATGGTTTCTCCATCCCTCATGACAAAGTTTTCATATTGGGAAAACAACAAGACTCCTCTTGATTTTTTCACCTGAGTTGTTCATTCATGGGCTACTTGCAGTGTGTCCCATATTTGCTTGGCAGTGGAGCATCCTTGGATTTTGCTATATTTATCAGGACCAAGTCCAAGTCATTTCTTGGCTTTAGCATTTTTCTCCTACTTCTTCAAGTTTTCGGCATTGCAGTCAACTCTTGTCTTCGAAACATCCTCACCTTCAGTATTTTTCTTCAGAGTTGGCAGTGGACCATTAGTAATTATATCCCATAGCTCGTAATCTTCTGCCTGCATGTGGTCTCTCATCCTTGTATTCCACCATAAGTAGTTTTGGCCATTGAAGAGTGGTGGCCTACCAGTGGATTGCCCTTCCCAATTTCTAGGTGGTACACACATCTTGATATTTTCCTAAGGTGTTAGCCTCTTCAATGATAACCTGCTCTGATACCAATTGATATTTTATACTTCAATACCACTCAAAAGGGGGAGGGGGTGATTTGTGTAGTGTCCAATTTTTGCGTGCACTGAATTATAGAAGAACCTGGCTCTTTTATGCGTTCCATAAACTACAATTGCGAAATAAGTAATGCAGAAAGTAAATAACATAAGTATTTTTACATGAAAAATTGTCCGGCTCGAAATGTGAAAAAAATACGACCTACTTCCCAGTAGGACTTTCCGCAGCATTTTACTACAGCTCTGAGCCAAACACTAATGTTTACAAACCTCTTGCAAACCTAAGGATTAAACTCTAACCCTTGTAGTAATACGCCACAGGCTGTCGCGACTGCTTCAAGTTAACTCTAACTTGAACAGTACAACTCAAGTACTTAATACAAATACTTCTAAGAAAAGCTGAAAGGTACAACTAAAAAGTTCCTACTAAAATTGAACTAGAATAAAAGACAGACATATCAAATTGGTTATTCAATCTGGTTTATATAGCTTCAAGTTCGTACTTTTAATTGCTCAAAAACTACCTTGCTGTTTTACTCTCATTTGTTGCTTAACTTCAAAGTATGTGTGTCACATGTAAAAGAGAACAAAAATAATATTTATAGAGTTAGTAGAATAAGGATTAATTAGAGGTTTAATATTTTACTCTTCCTTGGTGGAAGAGTACTAGTTAACTTCAACTTCTAACTCTTTTGTTATCTAGGATAGAACTCTCTTCAAGTAAGGAGTCTCACTCCTTATCAAATATGCAATCTTTTCGTTCAGGGATTATCAGAAATAACCATTTGTATTTATTCCTTGCACGTATATGCCTTTTGCTTGAATTTGATCGGGACTTGTGTACACTGTCCATGAACCTGATTGATGTATGTGTCCATTTGTCAATCGTTAAAACCAAAACCACTCAGGTTAACATTCCATAATCTTTTTTTTTTTCCCGGAGTTCAAAGAAGAAAAAGACAGACATAGTTGGAAACAGCAGCTAAAGTATGTGCCCTGAAACAACAAAAATTTTTAACCTTTCCCCAAAGCAGAACAAGCATTACGGTAGAAAAAAAAAGTAAGGCAAAACAAATAAGGGCAGACAGCAATTATTCGAAGCAAGAAAGAAAACTTGCCCATAATTACGTGCGTGTGCTATGCATAAAAGCTCAAAAAGACAAATCAGAAGCTTATGGTCAATTAAAATATGCCACAACCTTATAATCTGCAATATAAGCTACAAATATTATGCCACAACCACAAGTTCCTAAAGTCTTCTTCTTTTTTCTTAAACTTCGTGCCGAGTCAAACTGCCTCATTTAATATGAAACGGAAGGAGTAATATTTTCTTGCATATATAGGTGCATGGATATCCATAAGGTTTACAAGGCATTTATATATACGTGGTTGTCAAGCATAGCTGCAATTTTGCAATTTAAAATTCCAAGCTGTGCTCTGATGAAGGTTACTTTTAAATATTTAGTAGGTATTGATGGGCCAAGTGGTTATGGCTCTAAAACCACTGCAGAGCAAGTTACTCAAAATTGCTCCTTTTCCCTTTCTTCTCAGCTCACTGCAATTATCACTGGTTAGTCTTCATAACCCCTATTATCACTGGTCATACATTCTTTTATCTTCATTTTCATAAATTACAATTTTAATGACCCTGTATTAGTTATTTAGTGTTCTCTCCATGGACTCATTTTGTCATGTAAAGCTTAGACAGAGTTTTAGGCTTTCAGTGAATTTTAACCTTGTGACAACGGCTTAGTTATCAATTTTAATTAATTACCTTATAAGTGACATAATTGTGTAAATATATTTTGCGCCAACAGTGCACAGGACTTAAAATGTTAGTATTAATTTCTTTTTGGATTTTGATGAATGAAAAATTACAGGTGCAACATTTGGGATAGGAGCAGAAACAGCAAGAGTGCTGGCAAAAAGGGGTGTAAGAATAGTTATTCCTGCAAGGGACTTGAAGAAGGCAGCCATGGTAAAAGAAGCCATACAAAAAGAGAGTCCTCGGGCTCACATAATTTTATTGGAGATAGACTTATGTTCATTTTCTTCCATTCAAAGATTTTGGGCACACTTCTTGTCTTTAGGACTACCTCTTCACATTCTCATGTATGTCAATTTCTATTTTAACTTTGTGTATTGGGAAAAATTGAGTTTACATATTAAAGTAAAATAAAAATGACGTGTCAAGACACGTAAACTAGTCAAAGAGTTACAGCTGGCAAAGAGACACGAGTTGCAACAGATACGAGCAAAGGCAAAGGAAGAGGCACGGGCAGATATTCAAAGGACTCGGCGCCCGTACCTATTTAAATCATTTAGGTCCAGGAATCAAGGGGAATGAATCTGACAATATATGAGAGTACAAATATAGTATTTAATGAGCATTAAATACTGAATATGTTATAGAATCTGTATTAAATACAATGATTGTGTAACGTAGCATTCAATGTCTTTAATTACTCATAATAGCTTTATTATGACAAAGACAAAACGCATATCTCCCAAATAGCTATAAAAGGGATATAACTGATCAATTGTAGGGACACGAAATACTATCTGAATATATTGATTTACTTGTTTTTCTTCTGATTATATTATTGCTAGCCAAAGTACTTTCTTTCATATATTCTTTTGATTATGAGTAACCCGAGTTCTTCTAAATTAAAGCTTTGACCGGAATCCCATTTTTTGGTTAAACAACTTGTACTACTTTTTCCTTTTGTATTTTCTTCTGTGTGACTGATTCTTTTAGCTGTCTCTCTGATGGTTGGTCTGAAATTTTATCATGCAGAAATAATGCAGGCAAATTTTCACAGAAAATGGAGTTTTCTGAAGACAAATTTGAGCTCACTTTTGCCACAAATTACTTAGGTAATTCCTGTTCTACAGTCCACTTTTAGCAATAACAACACTAATATCAATGTATTTTGACTAGTTGTAGCTAGCAAGTTATTTACTACTCCAATATACTGCGACTTACTAAGCAGTTACCGGGTCGAATTTACCTGATAGAGTAAAAAACTATGCACTGTGAGTGCATCGAAGTTAATCTCAATGAGGATTGAACTTAAAAAGGATATGGTGTTGGACAGGTCATTTTCTGTTGACAGAGATGCTACTAAATAAGATGGTAGAGACAGCAGATCAAACAGGCATTGAAGGAAGGATTGTAAATGTTACTTCTGTAGTTCATAACTGGGTGAAAAGAGATCATTTCAACTTCTGTCAAATGCTCAAACCTAACATTTTACATGCCAAGGAATTGTCAAGACAGCTAAAGGTGAATATGTACCTATGTATTTCTTCATACACTATAGCTCGTTTGGCACTATCCTCAACCATATTCAGATCGCCACGAATGTTTTTTTTTTTTTTTGGTGACTTT